GCAAAAAAAAGCAGCATACAGAGGAGGAAAAGGAAGGGCCAGAGTTGCTTTGGGGAGGGTGAAAAGCTGGAAATCACCTGAAATGACGAGTAAACAAATTGCTGTGTGATGTAGGCATTTGCAAAACCTAGAGGCAGGCTTTAAAAATAACACATTTTATTAGAAGAGGTTAATTTTGCTGAGTTTATAAGAAACCCTGGGAGCAGGAGGGGGAGAAGAGGACCCTGGTGGATGTGTGTGCTGGACCCTGCAGCACTGCCCACCCCTTGTAGGCTGTGTATGGGGCTGTACCCCCCTACCCCCAGCTGCAGGGTCTCCCCGAGTTCCTGGCTGGGTTTGTGTATGGAGGAGGGGGCTGGGGTTCAGCTGTCTGGCAGCTCCTCCTGCTGAGCCTCTGCAGCTGCCTGCTCAGGCCAGGTCTCCTCCGGGATGACGAGGATGGGCTGGAGCTGGGCACCCTTCCTGCACCCTGGGGTGCTGCCCCCAGCTTGGTCCTGAACCCGGTGGGTTTTGGGGTGCTATGTGGGGAGGAGGTGTGTGCAGGGCAGCAGAGAAGCCCATGGGCTCACTTGGCTGAGCTTAGCATGCTGGTCACTGCTGGGGAGGAACCAGCCTCATGAAAATGCCATTTCCAGTCACTCTTCTGGCCATTATCCTGCTTCAGACAAAAGCAATTTACTCTGCGTGTAATAAAGCTGGGGTGATAATGAAGCTGAGAGGAGCTGTGACAGGCAGCCATGAGGCTGAGACAGGCCAGTGTCTCCCCACTGCCTGCACTGTGGCACTGACTGGGGCAGGGGCTGTGGGGAAAAGCTCTGGAAGAGCTGGAGAGAACCCTGGGAGAAACCAGTGCTGGGCCCTGACGGGTGTCTGGGTGCAATCAGTTGTGCTGAGGACCCAGCTGGGGGATGTGGCTGGTTCCTGGGCACTGGGACATGCTCTGGAGCAGCAGTCAGTGCTGTGCTGGGTGCTGCAGATGCTGTTTAGTTTTATCCTTTTCCTTTCAGAAACATGTATTACTTTATTCTAAAAAAGCCAGAACAAAGGTTATTGCTTTTTCCTTTAGGCTTGCCTTGTCTCAAAACAGGTGAATCCAGCAAGGCTGAGATCCCCCTGCTTCCTGGAGGTGACCAACTCAAACAGCTTGTGTGGATAAATCCCTTCTACCTCTGCAGCTCGTGGCCAGGTGGTGAAGCCCAGAGATTCTTGCTGGGCTGGTACCATTCTGCAGGAAGATGGCACAGGTTTCCCATGGGAATGGTCCCCTTGTCAAGGGGCAGCCCCATGCTGCAGGGAGAGGCAGTGGGAGCAGAGGCTGGAGCAGATGGTTTGGGCAGGAGCCCCCAGCACCATCGTGGTGCTGCTGCTTCCCCACGTGTGAGCTCCAGCCAGAGCTGAAGGCTGGAAGGGCTGGATGCAGCGTGTGCACCTGATGGATGAGTCTGATCAAGAGCTACAGGAATCCAGAAAATTCTGCACCAACTGTATGGGGGCTTTGGAGACCAAAGGTAATAGTTCACCTTTCTGCCTGGCCTGTCTCCCCTGTCAGATCAGCTCTGAAGGGTTCCTTGGTACCAAATCCAACCCAGTGTTAAGCACTGAGTATACACTTTAAAAAGCATAAAAGGGTAAAAACTGAACTGCATCTTGTTCCTACCTGGTAAAAAGCCACTGACTTTTTTTTTTTTTTCTTGAAGAAGCAACCAGAAGTAAAGCCTGAGTAAAAGCAGGGAGTCAAGGGGAGGGAACCTCAGCTGGTAAGTGGGCAGCAGTGCCCCTGGTCCCAACAGCTGGGATGTGCCACGGGCGCTCAGTGGGATCCCCAGCACCACACAGACTCTGCTTCATGTCACAGTCAGTTTATTGCTTTGGTTTTTGCACTTCTGAGCTTGTTTCCAAATTTACAGTCAAGGCCTGTCCTGTTGCTGCAGCAGCACAACCCCTTTAGCAGTGCCTGTTGGCAGGCAGTGGCTGCCAGAGTCATGCTGGGGGATGCTGATGAATCCAGGAGCCAGCGGGTGTGTGAGCAACCGAGTGAAGCAGCACCTGTGGACTGCCCCTGGGAATGGAGCCGGGAGCTGGTGGGGCTGCAGCAGCTTCCAGGTGAGCTGGGAGCCTCTGCCGTGCTCTGGAGGGGAGGCCCTGTGGCAGGGGAAGCAAGCAGAGCCCAAACACTCACCATCCCTCTGCTCGCTGCTCTGTGCTTGCTGAAGTGAACCTGCTCACACCAGCAGCACCACTGGCACCATTGCACCATGTCCCACTGGGGCACAGGTAGGTGCTTCACCTCATTCTCCCTGGGGCGGGTGCTAAAAATCTGAGAGGTCTAAGAAATGGCCCATGGGAAAGGCAGGTACCCTGAGGCCAAGGAGCCTTGCAGCACTTTCAAGCTGGGAATTGGGATGTTTTCCTACAGAACGTCCCTCAGCTCAGTGGTGGGAATTGGGGAGCGTGGCTGGTCTCAGCAGCCAGTCCTAGCAAACTGCACAGTGTAAGGAACAGCCTTGATGTTTCTCAGAGGACATGTTGTTCTTGTCAGTAATACTGCTGAGGAATTTATTGGAAATGCATCTTAACTTTTTCTGATAATAACTGATTTCAAAAACAAGATTGCTAGTGCACCCCAAACAAGATTCTCTCCCTGGGAAGGGTGAAGGCTGGAAAAAGCCTTTGTTTTGAGTTGGCAGTCCCTGTCCTGCTGAGAACAGGAGGGAATAATAGCACAGTTTTGAGGAGGTTAGAGGGGTGGGGGAAGGGTGCTGAAGGGGCACCCAAGGATTCAGTGTTGGGAAGGAATTTCTGGAAAATGACTCTCCCTTCGTACTTGAAACAGACGTACCCTGCTCCTCGGGCTTCTCTAAAGCACCATGTGCAGAGAAGTACAAGTCTGGAGGAACAGGGCAATGTACCCACCTGATCCCCAAACACTGCTTAAGAAAAGAAAAAATCAAACTCCTGCCCATGGGGAGGGTGTCTTGGTCAGTACCCTGGGGTGGGCATCCTCTGCCCCCAGAACAAGTCAGGGGTCGGATGATGGGATCTTCCCAGGTCAGCTCTGTCCCAGTGGTTCTTCTTTCCCCTTCCAGTGCTGTGTGGATCTGTCCTGTGGTGTGGCCATCAGAGAGGAGATGCCTCCTGGGTGCCAGCCTGCAGCATCTTGCTCTCCTGCTGCTGCAGCTGCTCCAGCAGGAGCAGCACGTTGTGGGTGAACTCGTTGTGCTGCCTCCCCATCCCAGCCAGCCGCACGGGCCGCAGGCTGGCGTGGGGGGGCTGGTACTGCTGCGGGCAGCAGACTTCGCTCAGCAGGAGCCAGGTGCTGTCAGGGTCCACGTGCATTAAGTGGAGGAAAACACTTTGGAAAAGAGGGGAAAGAAGAGTAAGCAGAAGGTCTTTGGATTGGCACCCAACAACACTTTGAATTGCAATACCCCAGGTAAGGTGGGGGTTTGACTGTTGAGTATGTGCTTCACACTTCTGAGTCCAGCTGTGAGCAGCTGGAACAAAGATGCTGCTTTGGACAATCCTGCTGGAGAGCAGGAAACTCCCAGGGGCAAAGGAGCAAATGGCTGATGTGAATCATCTACCCCAGCCCATCCCCTCCTGCCAGTTCTCACTGTTGGTGACCTCTGGGCTTGGTCAGGTCTGTGTCAGGGTCTGAGGCACCAGCTGTGCTGGGGGGCAGCTGCAGAGAAATAATCCTTATGGCTGGGGTGGATAAGAGCAGGCAAGAAAAATGAATTTCTGGGAAAAAAGCAGGGGAATGGGGAATGCTGCACTCAGCTGGCTCCTGCTGCTCTGGCACAGGCACAACTTCACCTCTTCCATTCACAGCAAAGGTCCCCTGGTCTCCAGCCTCCCTGCAATCAGCTGCTCCGGAGAGAGCAACTCTCAAGAGATTAGCTGGTCCCTGGAGAACTCCACCCCCTCTGGTGCCCGTGATGGCCCGAGGCCTGTGATTATCTTCTGATAACCTGGAGTGCTGTGCAGCTTAAAGAACAACTTGACTTCTACATTTACAAACTAACTCTGGGGTAGTTTCTAAGCAACCTGTTTCCATGGCAAAGAATCCTGGGGTTAATCCAGGTTTGTTTTCTGTTGTTGCTTTTTTTTTTTTTTTTTTTTTAAACTGAAATATAATTTTATTGAGTTTTGCCCTGTGCAGGTGCCTGGTTCAGTGTCCCTCAGCTCACGATTGGCAGCTGTCAATAAGTATTCAATAAGCCACACCATCAACCAAAAGAGGTATGTGGCATAATCAACTTTGCTGTCTAAAGAGGTCCTAAAATAGATCATATTTGTTCAGTTATGCTAAACAACTTATTCTACTAGCACAGAGCAGAGTTTGGCTGTTCTGTTGCTGTCCCTTTTCCCAAGCCTTAAGCAAAGCTGTGCCTCAGCACAGTCGGGAGGCTGGGAAAAGGACAACTGACTAGATACTAACTAGATACTCTTTAACACAGGCTTCAGTAAGAACTCAGGAAATTATTTCTCCAACCTGGAAATAATCCCATTCCTAACCAGACTGACCCAAAGGTCAAATGGTAAACTTCACAGGCTGTAAATATTTATTAGGAATTAAGTGTACATTTCAGACCAGTCCCTTCAAACTGAAAACCTGTTTGTGCAGTGTGGACATCAGGCAGTGACATATTTTGAATCTTTTTTCCTTCAAAGTTGTTTTTATTGGTTTTTTTGTTGTTTTTTTTCCCTGAAAGTGAAAAGCTTCTTGGGGATGATACAATTTAATGAATTGATGAGAAGCTCAGATTTACATGTTGTGACTTTCAGTTTACACCTCTTTGGTCCCACATCACCTGTAGCTGCTCAGGTGTCTCTGGTCACTTCACCCCCAGTTGCACTGGTTTATTTTCAGTGAAAGCAAAGGTGTATCCAGGGTTCCCTGTGCCTTTCCAAACTTCTCAGTATTTTTTTTTCCCAAGCTTTGGATAATATTCCTCCCCTGGAATGCTCCCAGCAGCCATCTTATAATAAAGCCTATTGTCCCATTTTTCTCTTCCTCAGACATGCTGGAGTTTTTGTGGTTTTTTTTTTTCCCCCCCAGCATCTATTTTTGCCTGTTGAGTAGTGCATGAAGCTGCAGGTACAAAATTCACTTACTCCCACTGGTTCATCTAATAAAACTACAGGGTCCCATAAATGGCATTGAGAAGACTCCTTGGGGCATGATAACATCCCTGGATGACAGCCAAAACTCTACCTTTTTTTTGTGTGTGTGGCTTCAGCACCTTGGACAAAAATTCCTCCTTAGCCCATTGCATACCTACAGAATCCTGACTGAGTCAGTGCAGGGAGCTCTTGGAGCTACAGCTGACTTTGTAAGACCTGACCTTGTTCTTGGCAGGTCACAACTCATGAGTTGAGTAAGAATCCAAAAAGCTGAGCAAGGGCCAGCTGATATAAATCAATATGGCAAGCTGATTCCAAACATCTTTTAACCTGGTATGATTTCTGCAGTGATAAAGCTGAGTTATGTGATGTGTGTTGGCACTCATGCTGTGGCTAAGATTAGTTCTAGTCTGTCTGTTTTTAGAAGCATTTAAAATGCAGAATTTTTCATGTAGCAAGATGATAATGTAGACTTTGCCTCAATGGAAAGGGCCTTACATGTGACAACGTGTATCAGTTTGCAGGACTACCTTCAGAGACATGGAGAGCCAGGAAATGGACTGGAGCTCACAGGAATCTGGTGGTTAAGCAGCTGGAAGAGAAGCTGAAGTGTGGCTGAGAGATGGTTCTTACCCTGGTGCCAGAGCTGATCATTATGGTACAAACTAATTCTGACTTTTCCATGCTGAAACCTCCTATCATGTGTATTATAATGAAGTGATTGTGATGTGTTTAACTGATCCATCCAGGCTTCAGGACCTGGGCTCAGACAAGACTAAACAAACAAAAAAGCATGTGAAAGTAGAAGTACTGCCCCACACCTGGTTGGTGCCAGGCCAGAAACAATCCACACCCCAGTGCACGTGTCTGGCTGACAGAGGTACATGTGAGAGAACCTCCTGTGGAACAGGTTGCTTTGTTCAGTGAAATATGTAATGTTTGGTGCATCGCAGGGGGAGCAGCGTGATGTGGCATTTTCCCCTTAAAATAGAATAAAACCAATATACAGGAGAAAACCGTTGCCTGCCCTGCCCTTTCTCTTCACAGCTCAGCTCCTCACAACCTGGCACATCACATGGCTGTTCTGTATCTCCCCTGCCCCTGCTGTGGGGGGACATTGCACAGCTTTTCAGACTGCTTTGTTAATGATTTAAAAGCTTAAGATTCCAAATATCTAGATGAATCCTGGTGTCCTGCTTTCCATTCCAGCACTGCTTTCCCAGAGGGCTGCATTGTGTTGAGGGTACATGAGCCCCCAGGGAGGAGCCCCCTGCAGAACCGCGGCTGCTGCTGAGCCTGCTGCCAAACCAGAAAAGCCACTGAGGTAAAAATAAACCTCCTCACCAGTGCAGGAGCACAAACAAAGGTTCAGCTCCCTCCGAACCCCTGCCCAGCCACACAACAGCCCCAGGCATCCCAGGGAACCAGCAGCTCCTCCTTCCTGCAGCCTGCCCTCAGGAATCCTAGTGCCTGCTGACCCTGCTCCACTTGCTTCCTCTCCCCTCCGGGGAGGGGAGGGTTGGCCACATGGCAAGAGGGGGCTTTGACCCCCCTCCTTCACCAGAGACAGAGGTGTGGGGCTTCCTTGCCTGCTTTGCATGTTCTTGTTTTATCTACTGAATTCCCTGGCCTTGTTTCCAGGTGGCAACACATGACAACAGCCACTTCTTATCCTGACAGCAGGAACATGCCAAGCAGGATTTTGACCACCAAGCAGCAGAGTATGTCTGTCAACACTCCACAGAGCTGATGTGTGTTCACCTAAACTGTTTGTGCTCTTTTAACCTCTCCCAGCCTTCTCAGAGCAGGACTGGTGCCAAGACTTGACAGCTTCCCAAACAATCTCCAATCCACCTGGTAGAGCTGGGGCTGACGCCACCACAGGAGCCCAGGGGAAATGGAAGGATAGCAGAAGTAAATCCCCCAGCCTGCAGAAGGTATTAAGTGATAAAATACAATGTCTGGTACCTCCTCTCACAGCTGTCTTCCTCTCTGTGGCTTTATGCCATCACTGAGCCAAGAGTCTCAACTACTTCAGCACAGGAGGCAGTTAGAGAAAAGCAAGTAGCACCTCTTCCTCTCTGTCCCCATCAGCTGTGAACTGTGGGTCACCAACCTCTCCAGCCACTTTGGGCAGTGACTTCACAGAGAAAGGGGCTAACTTCCATGAGACCCTCTTGTGCAGGGCTCAAACTTGCCAGAGGGAGGGATGGGAAGGGTGCAGAAGGAAAGGGGTGACTGTGCTCCCTCTGTCCCACATTATTGCCACATCTGACACCTACATTTAAGAGACATTACCTCTGGGCAGCTTCTTGTAATTTCTTGGGTTGCTTGGCGCTGAGGTAAACCAGGCAGGCATCTGCCACTTTATTCAGGTCACTCTCACCTGCAGAAATGGAACAGAAAAGCAGGGTAGGAGGTAACCTACTCCAGTGCTGCTGCTGCTGCCTAATATAATCTGCTCTAAACTGGCAGCAAGAGGCTTCTGAGCCTTTGAACTGCCTGACCTAGAGCTCTTCTGACCTCACCTCTTGCTGCAAAGCCAGGAAAGCAATCGAGGGCATTGAGAGAGGGAGAAAAAGCAACTAGTCAGCAAACCTTCTCCCTCAAAGTCAGCTCCAGAAATTTAACTTAAGAAAATTTAAGAGAGTTTCATTCAGTAGAATGTGATGTGTTGCATGTAAAGGGTGACCCAGAGAGGTGCTCCAAAATGGAACCAGTCAGCCAGAAGTCTTATCTGGGCTCCAGCTCTCCAGTTAATTAGGAACAAAGCCTGGCCCAGCAGGCCCAGCTGTAGCAACCCAAGCACTCCACTTTATACCCACTTCTCATACACAAGTGAGATGAGCAATCAGATTTTGCAGGGTGCTGGGAATCTTATCTCTCATTTGTCCCTGGGGGAGCAAAGAGTGATGAGCCCCTCTATACAGAGCTCTCAAAGAGGATGGATAAAGGCCCAGCATGACCTGAATGGGAAGAGATTGGAGAAGATCAGGAAATCGATCCCATGGGACAGAAGGATGTGAAGCAAATGCAGGTGTGGTCAGCTAAGAGGAAAAGAGAAGAGGCAAGTCTGGCAGAGAGCTCATACAGCCTATGTTCTCCCAGGTACTCACCCATGTCCAGCTTCTCACACAGAGAGCCCAGTCCCTGCAGAACAGCAAGCTGCAACTTGAAGGCCAGTGTGTGGCTGTACACAGGCCCAGCTCTGGCACTTGCTGGGGCTTGGCTGAGGAGGGAACTGGTCAGCTTAGGCAGGACATCTTTGGAGAACCTCTGCCTCAGAAAGTCCCCACACTTTTCAGCCAGGGTACACAGCACCTAGTGGAGAAACATCAGTTAGTGGAGGGTAGGTGCACACACAGGTCTGGGAGCAGCTCAGCTATCCCCACTAGCTCTGGGGGGAAGGCATTCATCCTCCTTTGGTGATTTTCTTGCAGCTGAGGCCTTAAATGTGCAAAAATGACAGGGGAATCTGTGGGGCCAACACACATGGCCAAAACATGGTTCTCTCTTGGAACTTCCCTAAGCTTGTAGTCTTGGTTGGCAGGACTGAGATGCTGGTTAAGTTGTATTTGGCTTGCACAGACACTGCCTTCCTGTCCTGAGATGGAGGCAGTCTATAATGAATCATTCTGCACAGCAGAGGAACCCTGTGAAACCCTGGAACCAGCCTCTGGAAACATGCTTTATTGTCCAGCTGGTGACTCGAGGAGAGCAGGCAGTCAGCTGACGTGGTCAGGAGCTCTTTAATAGTGTTGTAATGAGGTCAAGTCTCTGCCCAACCTCTCCCCTCCCCTGCTGAGGCCTCAATCGTGGAACAATCTCTCCTCTTCAGTCTGTGACTTGCAAAGGGAGGGTGCTGAGATTGTGGCTCCAGCAAGGGCAAGTTCCACTATCTGGTGACTGTGACAGGTGCTCAAGCTGTACAAGTTTTCCTCTTCCCTGCAATAACCAATATGGTTGTTTCCCCAGGAACAGTGTCAAGGTTTTGCCTGTGGACAAGCTGCAGTGGGGGTGAAACAAGCCTGCCCACCACAGGGGGATGACCCCATGTTCCCAACCATGTTAAAAATAACTCCATGCTTCTCTCATGGGCCACAGTGATGCCTGAGCCACTTGGCTGCCAAGCACCAGCATGAAGGCTGCTGGCAGGGATTGGCTGCTGTACCTTGAAGGCTCTGAGCACTGCCAGAGGGTCATCACTAATCAGCCGGGTGACGAGAGCTGGCCAGACACGATGAGCCATGGGAAGCAGATGGTTTCCATGAGGATGCAGCACAGTCACACAGAGCTCCAGCACATCCAGGACCTGGGCAGGAGGGGCAGGTAACAGACTTGCAGGTGCTGCAGTGCCAGCAGTACCAGGTATCCTGGTGGATCCCCAGTGTCATGCTGAGGATCCCAGGAGCCAGAAGGGTTTGAATATGAAAGGGTACAATGTTACCTCAGTGTGAACTGGGATAACTGGGCAGTGCACAGAGCACTAGCCTGTTGGGAAAAGGATGGATAGCACAGCAATGTGTGAGCTACAGGGCTGTGCTGGGTCCAGGGTGCCATTCCCAGCTGGATGCTGCAGACTAAGCCATGCACTGGGACCTGCTGCAGGATCCCCTGGTGGGGCTGCTCTGCCAGGAATCTGGGTTATGTCCCTCTGCATGTCTGTCTGTCCCCCTGCTGCACTTCTGTCCTACTTTGCAGTTTAAAAGCAGGTCACCTTAAAAGGATTTTAATAATTATAAAACCCAATCTTTTAGTCCTGCTTATCATCACCCCAGTGATCTCATCAGTCTGAAGAAGGGGGATGGGAGGCCTGGATGGGAGAAAGATGTTTCTGCTTCCTCCACAAAGGCTGGGACACAAGCCTTGACTACCATGGGAACCAAGAGAAGGTGCCTGATGAGAAGCCACCCTTAAGATTCTGTTCAGCCCAGATGCCACTCCTAAACCAGGCTGCTCCAAGAAAACTGTCTCTTGCCAGCACTGGGAGGGTCTGTCCTGAAGAAGCTCATGGCAGCACTGACCTCCTCCCGGCAGGAAACCCGAGATGCATGGGCTGATGAACTCCCAGCCCCCTCTAGGGGCACCCCCTGCCCCCAGGGCTGGTGTTTCCTCACCTGCAGCCTCACCCGGAGCTTCTCAGCAGACAGCAGGTGGATGCACCTCTCCATCACATCCTTGGCCAGCTGAGCATGGCTGGGCAGGGGAGCTTCTTCTGTGTCAGGGTTGTCTGGCTCCAGTTTAGCAAGGGAGGGAACCTCATCTGGAAGAGAGAACCAGTACTGAAGCTGTGAAAATGCTGTGGGAGTTCTGGGAGATCACAGTACCCACACACAACTACTCTGCAAATTCCTAAGTGAGGCCTTTGGCATTTTTTGAGATATTTAGATATAGTAAAGTCTATGCTTGAGTTCTGTGAGTTAGGGTCAGGGTGTGGGACTAGGGAAGGTTTGCTTTCTTTACTGGACAATGCAGTTGGTCTGACATTTGCAGACTCTTCTCACCATGGACTTATTTCCCATTGATTTTTATTAAAAATGAAAAGCTGGGTATTTAAAGATGAAGCATTTAAAGGTCAGGATTGCAGCACAGCTCAGCGAAGACTAAAAAGTTCCCTATGTGAATGTCCTGCCAAGGGCAAGTGAGAAGGGAGTGGCAGCATCATGGGCCAGGAAAAAATGGTACAGGGATTCCTAAGGGAGGGTGAGGAAGATGCAGTAGGATCGTGGGAAGAGGGAAACTGGGAACAACTGAACACACTTCTATGCAGTCATGCACAGCACTGACCTGTCTCCTCCTCCTCTGTGTCAGGAAGATTTCCCTCTGCCACCTGCTTCTCTCTGATATAGTTGAGGAAGAACTGCTCCACGTCGTGCTTTGTCAGCACCTGCTGCCCCAGGTACCACGTCCTGCTCTGGCCCTTGGCAGCCTGCCCCTGGGGGTGCTCCTCACTGCAGGGGGATCCAAACCACTGGGCTGCAAAAGAAGGACCTAGTGTGTCACTCAGCAATCACCATCTCCTCCTGCAAGTCCACCAGGCACCCCAGTCCTTAAGAGACAAGCATGACTCTCAAGTCTCATGAGACTGAACTAGAGAACCAGGCACCTGCTGTTACATCACTGTGACCTCCCTGATGGCACGAGAACATTAGAACCCTGAAAAAAATAAGTAAGTCCCATGTGCTTCTACAGAACATTTATGGGAGCAGTAAATCCATCCTTTCCCAAGCACTATAGGCCACATTCCTGTCAGTCTGCAGGACAGACAAACAGAAATGGTTGTGCAGAGGGGAAGCTGTGGGTGATCTTCACTTGAGAGCTGGCCCACCAAGAAGAGACAAGTTGCCATAATACCTCAGCACCTCAGATACCTGAGATCCCCCATGGCCAATCGACAGGCCAAAGACAAGTACCCTCAGTTACAGCAGGACTGAACTGTGCGAAGAAAATGTCACGTAGGTACCTAAGGCTGTCATCATAGAGTGGAGCACCCTGAGGAAAGTGGGAGCCTGGTGACCGTAGGACTGATCCAGGGCAGACAGGACATCTTGGATAACATCTTCTACCAGAGGCAGCAAGCTGGCATCTGAATGCCTCAGCATAGTGTCCAGGACCTGGGCAGCATGTGGCTGGTGTGCTGGCTGGCGCAGGCTCAGGGAAATGCCGTTCACCAGGTAGTCAGAATTCTCACTTATCAAACACCCCACTGAGCTGTACCCACAGGCCTCACACACCTCTGCCAGGGCCCCCAGCGCCGTCTCGCTGATGAGCAGGGTCTTGTCACCAGCCTTCTCCAGCACCGGGTAGAGAGCTGAGAGCAGAAGCACCCGGAACTCCTTCCCCAGGACAGCAGCAAAGCAGCCAACGCCTTCCAGCTGGATGCAGATCTGCCAGATGTTGCTGTTCATGGTGCTGGTGGTCACGGGAGGCTCTGGGGGCAGGAGGAGGGCGCTGCTGCAGGCACCTCCAGGGCGAGCAGCGAGTCCTGGGTGCTGCACGGGCTGCTCACGGCCTGCTTCTTCTGTATCAATGCTCGTGAGCAAATACCAGTTTGCCTGGTCTGTGTACTCCTCGAGAATGGACGTTATGGGTCCTCTGAGATCATCTGTGGTCAGTGAGGCTTCCCTTTCCTGCAGGACATCCACCCCCATGCCAGCAGCTCCTGCCAGCAGCTCATTGAGGACCATGGCCGCCTGCTTCCGGTGGGCGCCCGACTCCCCGTACAGCCCCAGGAAATGGTCCACGAGCAGATAGAGGTTCCCGTGGTAGCCAAGAACACGGCAGACCTGCTGAAGGAGCTGGAAAACTTTCTCCTCCGTGAAGAAGCGGAAGTATTTCTTCTGGCAGCCACCCCTCCACACACCAGTCCCCAGGGAGCCGTGCAGCCCGGGCGGGCTCTCGCTGCCCCCACGTCTGTTCTCCACAATCTTCACATCCGTCACGTCCAGCTCCAGCACCTGGATCAGAGCTCTGGACAGGCGGTGCAGGTGGGAGGCAGAGTTGAGGACAATGTTAATCCTCGGGCCCAGCAGCTTCAGGTAGCCCAGCAACAAGCTCAGAGTGGAAATCTTGCCTGCGTCATCCTGGGAGTTCATCAGGCGAGGAAGAGCCGTGGCCAGGGCGTGGAGGTTCTCGGAGAGGACATCAGCAAGAGCCCTGTTCTGTGCCACCACCCGCTGCTCTGCAATGCCCTGCAGCACCTCGTTACACCTGCTTTGCACCTCGCTGCTCTCATCACTCACCAGCCCAACCAAGGCCTTCAAGAGGTGGCTGAACGAGCCCACCAGCGACCGACTGCAGTTCCTCAGCAAGTGCTGGACCAGTTCCACCAGCTCCAGCCTCACCTTCCAGTGAGGGTGAACTGAAGAAAACTCAACTATTTTATGCAGCAGGAGACCGAGTTTCTCAGCAGTGCTTTTGCTCCAGTCAGGTCCTCTGTGCACCATCAGTTCTGATATTCTGCTCTGTTCCACTGGCAGCTTCTCTTTATTCTTTGGGATTCTGGCAAGCTGTTCATCAGCCATTACCAAGCCAACAACCTGGTAAAAGAGTCTGATGGCAGAAACAGTGGGTTTGTGACCTTGTTTGATGTCTCCAGTAATGACCCGAGACAGCGTAATGGAAATTCCAGGTAAAAAAGAAGCAAACAAGTCCCCACATTTCTGTGCCTCGTCTGCATCCAGGCGCCGATGCCCCTGGCACTCACACTGCAGAACCAGGGCCTGTAAGCACTTCAAAGCAGAGATCTTAATTTGCCTTGCTCTTTCTTGCTCTGCTAGGCCCAGAAGCAAAGACACAGCAAACCCTAAGAGAGGAAGGGTGGAAGGTTGGTACAGAGACCAGATCACATCCCCGTGAGCCGAATGCAGGAGGGTGTGCAGTGCCTGGGTCACGTCCAGCTTCAGCTCCTCGGACAGCGGGGCCGCTTTGCCGGGGCCGGACGGGGGAGCGAGGCACCTGCAGAGCTCGGAGAGCAGCTCCTGCAGCAGCTCCGCGCTCCTCACGCGGGTGG